TTTTTTGTTCGATGAGATGTTATACATTACACGTGTGTTTTAGTAAAAAAAACATATAAATTTTTTTATCTCTCTCTTTTTCTCACCGGTGACCACCGGCACCGGCGACGGCGACAGGCGAGCTCGCCCTAGCGCCCGCGCCGGCCATGGCAGTGGCGGTGGCGGCGGCGGCGGATCTGTGATTTGTCCTTCCATAGAAAAAAAATTATAGTCTATGATCTGTAGAGGCTGGAGGCTGGAGGTAGAAGAAGGGTGGAGTCTGTTGGATCTCTAATCCTATAGTGTAAAACAAATCATGTGTTGAAAACTGCATAAAACACATGGTTGTGTAGTAGACAGACTCATTTTCTTCTCCGCACCTAGAAAAACCGACGTCATGGTCTTCAATACCAGGAACGCTCGGCTAGGGCCCACGGACGTCCCTCCCAGTCCCGTCTCCTCCTGTGCAGCGGACCACCCTTTTTTTTTAAAAAAACCCACTTCGACTGTGATGTTCTCCTCACCTGTTCCAAGCCCCTCGCCGCACCGCACCTCTGGTCGATCCCATCGCCACAAGGTCCAGTAGCAGGGTGCTCTCTTTTCCTCGCTCCCTCCTAACATGAAATGTCTGCTCCGGCATATCTCCCTTGTGCTCGGCCCTTCTAGCGTTGTTCCTTCTCGCGAGGCGCCCGGCCCCTTCCCTTGTTGTTCCATGCACCCGCGGCGCACCACAATCTAGCGTTGCGCCCTCATCCACCACACTCATTGCGGAAGGGGAGGCAGGGAAGGCATGCACCTGCGTTTGGGCCTGTGCCTCTATCCACCTCGCTTTGTCGGCAAGAAGTGGAGGCATGTGCCACCGCAGTTCCCCACCAGGTAGGTCGTGGCCTCGCGACAATGTTGTGTTTTCGAGTGTTTTCAGACATGTTGAAAGCCTATGTGTCGTGGGGTCGAAACCCCCAGCAAACATGTTGTTCAAGTCAGTGTTAGAGTACGGGATCTCCATGGCTCGAGTGGACTCAGGAACACAAGAATCACGGAGAGAAGATGCAACGGTTTATCCTGGTTCGGGCCAATTCGATCCCTACGTCCAGCATCTGATGATCCTTATACTCAAGAGCACCCAAAATCTAGGGGGTTACAACCGAGTGTAGAGGAAGAGAAGTTTGGTAGGGGGTTAGCTCGGTGCTAATCCCAAGATTGCCTCGTCGTCGGTGGAGCCCCCCTCATCGGAGAGGAAGGAGACAGTGGGATGCGGTGGAGGAGGAGCTCTCGATGCCCCTCTCCTGGTTGCCCTGCTCTCAGTCCAGAGCGGAAGCAGATGGAATGAAATGGAGTGTCTGGTGATCAAACTCACCTCCTCTCCCATCTTGGTCCGACCTTATCCCTTATATAACGAGATAGGATGGGTACAAGGTGGTTTGGGAGTTCTAGTTATGGTCTCACGTGCGCCAAGTCCAGGAGGGGCTTGCAGCGGTGCACCATAGACCGTCGAGGTGTCTTGCAGTCGAAGAAGCCTGGACGTCATCCGTCTCTTTCTGTTCGACACTCTACGTGTCGTCAGGTCGACTTGGACCGGTCTGCCCCGAGTGAGACCTTCTGGAGTCTTCTTGGTGGCGAAGGAGGTCGGCTCCAGGGTGACACGTAGTCCTGAAAGCCCCCAAGCCCCCGGAGATCGCAGAAGCTTTTGTCTTCTTATGTCACGCCCCGGACGTGACCTCTGTAGGAGGAGCAATTGGTAGGGGGCACGCCTAGGGAGTGGCGCCAGGAGCCCTCGGGCATCGGTAGCCTAGGATTCGTCTTCTTGTGCCTGAGCCTTGGCTGCATCGTTAGCCATGCAGAGCCAAGGACCGACTTGGTCGTGCCAGTAGATCGAGCCCAAGGCTCGAAGTCCCCGAGTCCTAGACGGAAGCTTCTGATCCAAGTCGAGGCTCGACCGTCTCTTTGCGGAGGATGCAGACGAAGCGTGCCCGATGGGCATAGCCCCCGCGATCCTGAAGGTGTCGGTCGGGGGGCTCTTCGTTCGGGAACCATTGGACCCGAGGCTTAACATACCTGTATGCTAGGATCTCATCACTATGTTTCAAATATTTCAGTTGTTTCATATGTATGTTTCAAGTGTTTGATACGGATTTTGCAAAAGTAGATCGAGATGCTACAATGTTATAATGGCTATACACGTATGTTTCAAGTGTCTATTCGAAATGTTTCATCTGTTCAAGACGAATGTTGCAGGTGTTTCATCTGGATATTGCAAAAGTAGACCTGGATGTTTAATTCATATATACATGCATGTTGCAAGCATATGTTTCAATGTTTTCAGGTGTTTCATACGTATATTTGCAAGTGTTTCAACTGGATATTGCACATGTTTGCAATGGTTTTCAAGTGCTTTCAGGCTTTTTAGCGAGTGATTCAAGCGCTTTGTTTCAAGTGTTTCATCTGCCTTCTTTTGTATGTTGCAACTATTGCATTTGGATGTTTCAAAAGTAGATCGGATGTTACGCATGGATGCGCGTGGAAAGCGGTTGGCGGCGCGAACGACGTCCAGGGGTGGCGCGGGGCCACTGTTGGTGTGCTCGCTGTGAGCCCGACATGCTAGCGCTGGCTCGCTCCTTGTGCGGGCAGCGTCCGGACGCTAACACCCGGACGTGATGTCCGGACGCTAGCAAGTCCCCGCTCAATACCTCTTTAGGTCCATGTTCAAATCATCCTCCTGACCTCCACTGGAAAGGTCATGCATTCGCGTTCTATCCGGTTTTGATAAGAAGATCATATCTACGTGTCCGCATTCGATACGAGGGGTTTTCTTAGGGTTTTGAGTCCTAAGCTTTGACTTCCCTAGCGGGTGTCATCCTTTATCTTGTAGCGGGGGCCCGATAATGTCCCAATTGCCCCCTGACATCTTTTGTCGATGCCTAGAGCTGGCCATCAGGTGCTGTCTGCTGCCATTATGCCTTCCCTAGGGTCACCTTCTCGTGGCTTCCTTTGTACGCCAGGATCCCACCCGCATGCAAAGGGAGGTTGCCACGCGGGCCGGGAGTTGTTCACATTGCATGCACGTAGAAGCCCTTGTCATGACGTGTCACGCCCCGGGCATGACCCTGCGCTAGGAGTAGCCAACACGACCTCACGGAAACGGAGAAAACTGGGCCTGACAGGGCTTGTGCCTACAGCTCTACCGCCTGTCAGGCTTTGAATGCCTGACAGATTCAGGGGTATATTCTTGGCGTCAGACGAGATTGGAGCCTAACTTGAGCTAAGGCCGGGACATATCTGACAGTGCTTTCTTAGCAGTCGTCCCCTAGGGTCAGGAGCCTCCTTGGCCGAGCCGAGCCCCCGGGCGTAGGTGACCCAAACGGGGGACTTAACGCCTAGGTTCTCTTCAAGGGATGGGCCCTTTGATGAGGCTCGAATGGCCATGCATCAATGGGCTAGAGGGTGCGCATGAGCGCACTTGATGGGTGCAGCCCTCAAGCCCCTGGCTGATTAGAAGAATCAGTTAGGGGGGTAATCGGACTATCATGTCACTAATTTGGGTCCGGGGGGTTTAATTTACCCCTATATTTGGTACTCAACAGGTGTCCCCGAGCCCCTCACGGCCTCCCGAGCCATCCTCGAGATGGTGGTGAGGGGATCTTTTTGCGCTCGACTGGAGTGGAAAACTCCTATCTCAGGTTCGTCTAAGGACATGAGGGACTCCATCATGACTTCTTGATCAGGTAACGTCCTTGATGAGCTCAAAACGGTTAAGCTTGAGCGCAGGCCCGGCCAATCCTTTGAGGGACTGCAGGCTCTGCGCATCTGTGAGGCGTCCCGCTTACCCAGCCTGTCATGGGTTCGGCGACTTGGCTCGGGGTCATCTCCTCACTCGGTATCCCACCCCCGTTGGAGGGTTTGATGACAGGCTTCATCGGCTCAGGCTGCACGTTGTGACGGCCTTGCTGTTCCGCACATTCGGGCTAAAGACTGCTAGTGGACTAGTCATGTTGTGCCTATCACTTTCTTTTTATCCTGTTCCAGAGACGGCCACATGTCGTCCGCCGGCTGGCCTTCGAACATTTGGAATCACAGGCAAGAGGAGCCTCCGGTCCCGTCGCGGGGCCAGCTTGTCAACGAGTGAAGCGCGTTTCCTTAATCGTTATGGTATCTAGTCCGTTATGGTGAATCATGGGCAAGAGGAGCCTCAACGGGTGGACTAGTCCAAATGTGAACTGAAATCTAGAGCAGTTTGTTATCTAGCTGGGTCTAAATAAACAAGCGTGTCCTTGAGCTATAAGCAAGCACCAGTGCAATAGTTCTCCATAAGGACCGGCCATATAGAAAGTCAATACAGACTTCTACCATAATCGTTAGCAGACGAACCAGTTTCTAAAATGTTGTCAAGGAATACCTCAGCAACTTATACCAAAGATTAGAATTACAATATATAGGGGGAGCATTCCCTATACTCGTTTATCAGCCTGTTGGGCTGGGTTTATACGATCGTGGATTATGGCGCCGTTCGGTTGGTTGAGAAACCAGCCGGAATCCACAGTTCCCGAATGAAAATCACTGTTCACGCTCTCACAGATTCCTCCAGATTCATCCAGATTCCTCCCAGCGAACAGGGCCTATAAGCTGGAATAGTATTTTTCTCTCACACAAAACCAGCCAGCAGTAAATAATCTATGATCGTTTACGACGAAATGAACAGGCCGTAAATCTCTGTTTCTCCTGTTACAACAAAAGGACATATATTTGCTACATATCAAGGCCCCGTTCGCGTGCCCTTAAACCCGGCTTAATCCGCTTTTTTTTTCATCCGGAACAGTGTTTTTCTCTCACAAATTCCTACAGCATTCCTCCAGACGAACAGGCCCCAAATTTTCATTCTTAACATACATAATAAGTAGCATAATTACTGTGGTCTCCTTCGATTCACAAGAACGAGGACACGATCTACCGTACATGCTGATACAAAATATCATAGAATGTTCTCACCTATATATTATGTTTAATTTGATGAAAAGCCGCGCCACCTAAGACGGTGTGGACGGGCATTGATAGTATGTTGCACACGGTCGACTCGCAGGCAGATACGGCGCACCAGGTCTGCCGACGCAACTGGATCCGCACGCAGCATTGTCTTCGTTGAGCGAGCCGTAGCCCAGGTACGGCGGCGAGGTGGCCTGCATCTGCAATATCGTGAGCACCACCCTCCGGTGCACCCCGGAGTCCATGTCCATCTCGGCGTCGGCGGCCTGCCGATCATCCTCTAACCGGTCGTGCACACGAGGCACCATCATCGGCGACAGCCCCACGACCCGCACGGGCGGCAGTGTGGCCGGCGTGGCGCCGTCGCTGCTCATGGCCGGCAACGGCACCGCCAGCGACAGAACGACGACGCACACGGCGACGCACATGCTCATCATGGCCATCGCCATCGCTGCCAACTTGCCCGGGCTGTGAGCAGCGCGCGCAGCCGTGTCCCCCTGACTAGCAGGAGGCGTCGGGGCGTCGACGACCATGACCACACGCACCTTAGGCATTTATAGGCGTCCCTGCTGCTGCGTGACGGACCTAGTTTTTTATCTCTGGGTATGTGCAGCAAAAAATTTTCTTATGCGATTCAATAAAAAAAATTTACATTGAAAATTTCTACCTATCTCTATGACTGGCGGACCCCAGGGTATGCGGTGGCCCACCCTGCATACCCTGTGGGTCCGTCCCGTTGATCGGGTTTTGCTTAGGCAGTTAGGTGTGCTGGTGGCGCGTCTCTCCCCGGGGCATTGTACGTGTCCCGGTTGTTGCCATCCCCTCTTTGGATGATATGCATAACTGAACACAGACGCCACATTATCGTGACAGCACAAGAACACCTAGCGATCTGGTTTCATGATCAGCCGAGATAATTGTCCCAACTCTGGAATCTTGCGTGAAATAGCAGACAAATAAAGCCTGCGATGTAGGCCTATCTAGGGTGTGCAGCGGTCCAGGGCTCACGGGTTAATAGTAGTATTTGTCGTTCTCAATTTCTCTAGCTGTAGACTAGTAGCTTTTTATAATTGGTGGACCAGCGGCAATGTACTACCGTACTCAACAATAGTGATGCGTTTTTAACCATAAAAATGATAAGCATGCAAGTTGATCATCGTCATATTCGTTTTGAACTTATAAAGCGTATTTTTCACCAACGAAACGATATTTTTTCTCTCACAACAAATCAATCGGTAATATTTTTCAAATATGGCTTATCGCATGTTGTGAACATGGCACATATCGATCGATCAATTGGCACACCCCAAGTTGTGTGACACAACCATCACGACATATTGTTGGGTCGCATCCACTCCTTGTGGGCGTTGAAAGCATCTAGGTCCCTAGTTGGGTTTCGGTGATTAATGACAATACAAGATTACTGTGACTAACGTGTGTTTTGCAAGAGGCAATTAAGTTAGGTCATAGTAATGGAGATCGATTGGGCAATCATGGTGGTCATGCCCCTACGATGGAAATCGTTTCGGTTTTCAAATGATGGACGACAAGGTTAAGAATGACTAGTTCTAAGTGTCGATTGAAGTGGGAGAGACACTTAGAGTAGTTTAGGACTTTGTTTTTCCTTTGACCGTACTATTAAGGGGGGTATGGACGGGTAGTTTGACCTAGGTGAGTCTAGTGAGTTAGGTGTGGTGCACACTTGTTAAAACTAGCGCTAGGTAGCTCCTACATATGCCTAAGATCCATTGGAGCAAACTTTATTCACGTATGATCGAGAGTTGAAAGTGAATGGAGGGTTAAATGCTGACCGGACGCTGGGTTCGGTGTGATCGGACGCTGGCGCAGAGTCCGGTCAGCTCATTTGACCGAGGTGAAATTGTTCGGTGCGACCGGACGCTGGAAGATCATGTGACCGAACGCTGAGGACCAGCGTCCGGTCGTTTCCAGTAAGGTTCCAGAGAGGGAAAATCATGACCGGACGCGTCCGGTCAGTGCTGACCGGACGCTGGCAGCGTCCGGTCACACTGTAAACACTGGAGTTCGGGGTGTACTGACCGGAGCGTCCGATCAACATGACCGGAGCATCCGATCACCCCGCAGAGGCACATAGCGGTTCGTTTCCCAGCCCTTGTTATAAATAGAAGCTCCACTCGTGTGTGGAGTCACTTTTGCTCATTCCAACAGTTGAAACACACCTTAGAGAGTGCCAAGAAGAATAAGGTCCTAGTAAGGTGATTGAGATTTGAGAATCCCAAAGAGAGCCCTCATTAGTGAGATCAAGAGTATCAAAGTGTGCATCCAACCCTTCTCCCTAGGCTTGTCATGGTCAAGTGAGAGTTCGTGCTTGTTACTCTTGATGATCGCCATCACCTAGACGGCTTGGTGGTGATTGGAGAGCTTGGTGTTCATCCGGAGAGCTTGTGGATGACCCAACTCAAGTTATGAGCGGTTGTGGGTGATTCACCGCGATGAAGTGTCGAAGAATCAACCCGTAGAGAGCACTTGATCCTTGCGCGGATCAAGGGGGAGCTACACCCTTGCGCGGGTGCTCCAACGAGGACTAGTGGGGAGTGGCGACTCTCCGATACCTCGGCAAAACATCGTCGCGTTCCTCCTTCTCTATTTACTTTGAGCATTTACTTTGAGTATTTCCTTTGAGTATTTATATTGAGCAATTCAATTCTTGTCTTTACAATTTATAGATTTGCCATGCTAGAGTAGGATTGGAACTTAGGTTGCAAGTCATTTGTGCGGTAGAACAACTAGAAACACTTCTTAGGCACAAGGGGTTAATTGGGCTAACCGTATGATTTAATTAATGCAAAGAAATTTAGAATTAGCCTAATTCACCCCCTCTTGGGCATCTTGATCCTTTCAGACGTGTTTGTTTTAAGTAAGGAGGTGGTCTATCATCTTCTCATTTCTTACTTTTTGTATTTGATTTGTGAAATAGAATGAGTTGATCTATCACCACCTCATTTCTCATAAGCTAATAATATGCATGAGAAATGAGTTGGTTCCACCAAAATTCATGGTATAAATTCATGATGTATCACCTCATGAAGCATGGGATGACTCCACAAACCAAACACTCGCGTTACAACAAATGGACATATATTTGCTATATATCAAATTTTCGTTCTTAACATATATAATAAGTAGCATAATTATTGTGGTCTCCTTTGATTCACAAGAACGAGGACACGATCTACCGTACATGCATGATACAAAATATCATAGAATATTCTCACCCATATATTATGTTTAATTTGATGAAAAGCCGCGCCACCTAAGACGGTGTGGACGGGCATCGATAGTATGTTGGTGACGTTTGAAATTAGGGGTGTGCTGATATCGCTTTATTATGTCATGAAATTCCGCTCAACAGCTGCACACATGCATCAACTGACACACAATGCGATCAGTAAACACCAGGCATGGGTACTAAATAATGGTTGTAGTGACCACTATAGTAGCATACTAGCATACCTCTACAATGGGCAGACTAGATTTAGCAAGTTACAACTTAGCCACCGTTACATGAGTTAGTGGATGCTATAACAGTCCACAATAATATAATTTTTCATAGCGCCCGCCGCAATATACAGTGGCGGAACCAGAAACTTCTAGGAGCCTGGACAAGTTTTATCTAAAAAGATACCTTATTTTTCTACAGTATAAAAAAATTCATTTACGCTTTGTCGACGAGCCTGGGCGGCCGCCCGAGGTCGTCAGACGATGCTTCCGCTAGTGCGCAATAGTGTCGTACAGTATGCAACAAATAACTCTAGCTCACTGTGACTCTCACTCATCAAGATACGCACAGATGGTTTAAGTGACCACGAGACTAATGAGATCATTGCTTTTTGACAATGATATATAACAAATGATGGTCTTATAAACTATTTATGGCTCTCATGATTTATTTGTTTATAAACTCGATATATGACAACTTATATGTAATGTGTGTGGAACAAACACCAATTTGTTTTCTTAATTTAAGTACCTGAGTCATTAGTTCTTTGAGTACACCTAAATATCTATTTATACCAATTATTCATGGTATATATGCTTTTTTTGAAAATATACTGGGAAGGGTGGACAACCACTCCGAGCAAATGAAGATCGAGCCATTGGGTTGCTGAATCCGGTCACCGTGCCACCGGATTGCCACCGAAGGAGAGGGCCACCATCACAAAGCTCTGAGGGAGGCTGCCATGGCGCCATCACTGATATAGGGATGGTAGAAGCCTCATCGTTGCCATCCTTGTGGCCATCAGCTTCCGAAAGCATGCATGCTCTGGCGACAGCAAGGTGGAGGGAAGGATAAGTGGAGGGAACCCTGGCTACGGTTCTGCTCAAGCCGCCCGAGGGGGCCGATGCGGACGTGTGTGTTGCCTTTGCAAATAAGGTTTTTTCTTTTGGAAAACACACTTCTGTGTGATTACTTATTGTGCGAATTGTCAATACGTTAAGTCATTATACTACATCATATCAGCTAGGTTCGACTACATCAACTAGGCTTCATCATATTACGTGTGAATGGTTGCTTGTATTATCCTTAGCCTATATTAAACCTTATACAACACAAACCAAGCCAACATAAAATGTATGTAGTGTCTTGGTATTTGATTGTCCTGCACAAACAAGCTATATATTTGATTGTTTCAATTGTGTTTGATTGCTTATATTGGTTTTATGCAAATATACATTGTCTAATATAATCAATTTGGTACACTAGTTATTAATGCTATATTAGACCTGCTTTGAGCATTATACAAGCATGCATAAGGGACTTTGGACGACCAAATATGGAAAATTACATTGCACAAGTGTGTGCTGACCAGAGTAACAGCACAACTAGTGTCACTAGCACCGGTTGTGGCCACATGTATAGTCTCATAACCATTATGTTATTGTTTATCTTACTAGTTGAGTGCCGGTGCGTTGTTACGAGGGTACGTAGAATCTTATGACATTTAGCCATACGGGTAAACCATATGCAAAATCTCATGACATGCAATAAATATTGAAATTAGACCACCAAGCAATCTAATATTTATTATTAAGAATAGTGGTCTCTTTATTACTCTTGTTACCCCATTGGCAGCCACGAATAGTAAGAGCGCATGCCGTTGTCTCTTGTAACACAACCAACTTCTCCCCAAATGCCATGTAGCAAGATTATAACAACAAAATTATGCGTATGACTTATATATATGTGCATGGGTGCTATTCAATTGGCGCCACCAAGAATACACTCAAACAAACAAAAAAAAAATCTAACTCCATTCAACTTTAGTTGTTCTTTTGCTAAAGCACCATGCGTGTCCAATATGCGTATTCATTTAAATAACTCTAACTATATATGACACACATGCTCACAAGTTTTTCTCATATGACAATGAACAAATAATTTGCTCATAACAATGAGAAGAGATGGCAT